CACACACACACACACACACACACACACACACACACACACACACACACACACACACACACACACACACACACACACACACACACACACGATCAGTTCCATTTAGTCCCTTTGAATTAGAAGTATCAAACATGAGACCCAGGACCTAAAGCCAGCTCACCAAAGGGTCCAAATTCAGCCTACTTGATGTCCGACTGCAATAAAGGTACTGACTGACATTCTGGAGAGTCTTGCACGCAAGTACAATTGGTCCTCTTATAATCATTAAAATAATTTGTCTTGCTTTACTTAGCACAAGCATCAAGTTATATGCACTTAAGGTAAAGAGGGGTGTGTCAAACTGCCACGTCATTTCCTACAGTATTTCTGAGCCACGTGAAAGTTCAGCAACTATTACACAACATAAAAATCTGTTAGAAACTGCAACCAAATAAATTTTAAACATTCTCCAACTGTGACAATCTGAAGTCAAAATCTTGTTTTTAAGCTCTGAGCAAAGGACATCACAGCTAGTAGATGAGACTGATATGTAATGTATGTAAAAGAGAGGCCTTTCACATACAGTTTTTAAACAGCCCTAATAAAAGAACATTTCCTCCAGATATTTTCTGTACTCAAGAATTCAAGAGGGCACACAAGCGCTGTTAAATATTATAATAATAATAATAATAATAATAATAATAATGATGATGATGATGATGATGGGTGACTTATCCAACCCTTTATTCTTCTAGTGTCTGTAACTTTGAAAATATTGATAGCATGAAAGTAAAATTTGGTATGTGTTCATTAAATATGGTTATTATACAAAGATCAGCAGTCACATAAAGACAGCCAAACCACCAAGGCGAGTGAGGATACATCAGCTCCTTAAAAGCAGAAGCAAAACATCACAGACATGATAAGGAAAGGCTGAACGGGAATGAAGAGCTTCAGTCCTTAGGACACCTCATCAGCACTGACAGACAATATCCCAGGTAAGTTAAAATAATCCACTCTGAAAGTGCAGAACAATCTAAAATCAGATAACAGAAGAGAAGCAGCAAGAGCTTCAGCTGCAGTTTACAAAAGCACAAACAGAGCGATCATTACAAGTCCAATGACCTCAATCACCAGGGTGACTGAGGAGGTTGAGAAAGAGGAGGGGTCAGTTAGAAAGAACCCACTACTATCACCCATTCTTTCTCCCAACGAGGAGCTCCTCCCCTCCTCTCTAATCAGGGCAAATTTTCCTCCCCCCTCAACTCCCACATACACACACAAAGTGCCAGCAGCAGCCGCTTCGGTGGCCGTTTTCTGGCTGTCAGCAGATTCTCCATTGTGGTGCTTCTCTCGATGCAGCACATATGTCGTCTATAACATAGTGACCCCTTCAAAAACCACCATAATCGCTCAGTAACGCTGCCTCTCAGTAAAGCTCTCTCTCAAAAACCAGCAGGTCCTGATATCCCATCCGCTGGACACATGACGCTGCCTCATGTGAAAACAACCAGTTTTCCTATGGATGTTAATCAGGGGTGCAACAACCCGACATGTGGACCAGACAATGGTCCAATCTTTACTCAAAAAGGCTAGACCTGATATTCAGATTTGGTGTGCAGTAGTTTGGTAACAAAACGATGAGCAGTGCATAGGGATTTCTCACCTGCTAGTAAGGATGAACCAACCTGATATCTTAATCAGATGTTAGTATCCTGATCAGATATTGGTGAACTCAACATACTGACCTAATGGCTAATCTGTTTAACTCCTTTCCACAATGCACTTTTATCTCATCATGAGGTAAGAGCAGCTAGCACAAGCGTTGCATAGAGGATGCCAACAAATGGGAGAGGAAAAAAATGCTTATCATACATGATGTGGTATAAATTGCTTAAGTCACCAATTTATTTCTTGACTATATTGCATTATGCTTAACTGCTCTGTGTGTGTGTGTGTGTGTGTGTGTGTGTGTGTGTGTGTGTGTGTGTGTGTGTGTGTGTAGGGCTGT